CATCCTAAGTAGAGGAGTCAGCTCACGGTTAAGTGGTTGGGGGACGTCGACATCATTCGTAGTTTAATAAATCCTCTCACTGCAGTTTATGTCACACAACTGTGTCAATGGGAGACGATTCCTTCACTTTGGATTAAGTAGAAAACAGCCTTGATACCACTAAAGTTGGGGCTTCGCAATCATGACCATTATGGTATTTAGTTTTGCAGCCGAATCCAACAATCCTCAAACGTGCCGTCATATGTTTCACGCTGCTGCCGTGTGGTTTCTGCTCACCATGCAGGGAAAAGAGTGGCAATTTGAAGGAATTTTAAGGAACTCTTGTATGAATTATAAAAGTTTTATAGCTTGATGATCTCTCCCTTTGTTCTCCCAACGAGGACCTCCACCTGTTTCTGATGATGTGAGCCAGAGCTTGTCCCTTTCAAGAGGCTGATCCCTCCTGATCTCTTTGATGTAACCTGACCTATCAGTTCCAACTAGCAGGATTTGGTGATCACGGATAGACCCGCAACAACAGCCTGTGCAGATCAGAACTAGCAGGCAAAGATGGAAGGGGGGGAGACGGACGACAGGGATGTGCAACTGGGAGCTGCGATGTGTCTGAACACCAGCAGTCACATGATCAATGCTGCCAGCCCAGACTTAAGCAGTAAAACCTGTGGGTCTGTGAGGGCACATGCAACTGATCGGAGATGAAAGACAAGCCTTGACTTTCACAGGAGGCCTGGAATTGGGGTGCGGGGGCTACGAAGGGGGCACTTCTGAGGGACTGCCATCAGAACAGCTGGGTCATTTTCAAATGACCTAATTCTCAGGTTAATCCATTCAGACTTGCATGGCTAAATTTGTGTGTGTGCTAGGCGTAAAGAAAGGTGGAGAACAAAACGTCAGAAAGGTTTGGAGTTCAAATGAGGTGCAAGAAGAAAAACCAAACAATCCACTGTGTGTGCAACAGTAGCAGAGATAACCCATTTTTTTCTCTAAAGGATTTTTAAAGGTCTGTGTTAAAAAAATTAACTAACAATAATGATCCACATTAAATTACATTTAGGTCCAGACCCCAGTCTGCTATTTGGGGACCCCTATTCTACAGATTCAGATCCAACAATGGATCATGGCTCACTTTGGTTGGAAAACATTTCACTGCCGGGGCATCTCCTCCTGGTAGTGAGCATGTCAGAGGCCAGCGTCCATCTGCGAGTGATTTACGGGTTCCATTTTTGAAGATGATGTGCGATAAAACAGAGAGGTACGGGTCAAAGTGACTATAGACTCAATATGGGACAGAGCTCTTACCACATGTTTTAATCTCTACAAGCATGTGTTTGAAGTTCACAGCGAACACCGTCAGTCCTGCTGCGGGACGTTATATCCATCTTACCTGCCTTATGACCGCTTGACATCATTAAGGCAAACAGAGAGCTGGCAGGCTTCTTTGTGAGAAGACATGAAGCAGCAAAATTCAAACTTGATCATATTTTACTCGACTATTTCTGCAGCTAATTTGCTTTGACAAACATGAAGAGACTCACTAAAGCTACACCACTGTTTTAATTGAAATAAAAAGTTAACTCAGACACCTGCAGCTTTTTGTTCAACTGTAATAAGTAGAAGAATTTAAGTTGTTCAGTTTTGAATGTGGTAAAGAATTCACTGAAACTAAGAGGAAGCAAAACCAACAAAAAATATCCAACAGTTTTTTATAACCCACTGCCAAAGAGTTAAAGTTATTGTTTTTGTCTGAGCTCTAGTCTGTTTATTAGCAAAATATCTTGTGAACCACTGGGCAAAATTTAATAAAATCTCCAGAAATTAATCATTGGCTGTTTCGCAACAACTAATGAACTTTCAGAGTCAATGCAATTCAAGATGGCTGCCACAGCCAATTAACATTAGCAAATACAAACGTTTAACCAGATCTAAAGATACTGAGCTAAAAATTAACAGCTAAAATTAAGTGTCAACACAGAGTGTGACATATATCTGGCGTATATCTTATAATGAATTACATTATTTTCAGAGTTTGAAGAAAACAACTCTGTCGTTTCTCAAGATGATCTTTGGCTAAAACATGTCAAATTCAAGGCCCACTGGCCAAATGTAGCCTACCACTGCATCTTATTTGACCCGTGAAAGCTTCAAAAATGTAAAATGAGTGTATGCTGTAATGTATGTTGATTATAATACCTGCAAAATAACAGCATCCACACTAGGTGGAGGCACAGGGATCAAAAGTAGCCATCAACAGACACGATTTGTCAAACAAATTATACGTTAATCTGCAGTTTTGACAGCTACTTTTGCTGCAGCCCAGTTGTACTGGGAAGTGGGAATTGCTTACTTATAAGTTGCAATGTGAACTTAAATGCCTATCTAATGGGAATTCCCTGTCAGAAAGAGGGAGACTTCAGAATTTGAAATGGCTTCCCACAACTCAACAACAGTGAGTAAAACTCTCTCATTTTTACTTTTAGTAGTATTTCTGTATTATATATTCCACATTTAGTCAAACAAGTAGGCCTATTTTCCAGGGTTTATAAGGGGACAGGTTAAAATGTTGTTTGTATGCACAAAATACCATGTACCCATTAACCATATTTTGACATTTGTGGCTTTTTTTGGATGAAATAAAGACCCACATTTAAGACTTTAAGATTTTTCCTATTGGCACATAATGTTTAGTCAAAAATAAAAATGAATTCATCCATCCATCCATACATCCATCCATTTTCTTCCGCCTATCCGGGGTCGGGTCGCGGGGGCAGCAGCTTCAGAAGGGAGGCCCAGACC